TAGATAAAGCTGCCTCTTCCAAAGTCAGCATGATAGTTATGTTCTGCATTGGTGGCGGAATCCTGGTGGCCATGATCGTGCTGATGTGTGTTGTCATCTGTCTTTACTACAAAGTAGCCAGCGCATTAAAGTGAGTGATATGGGTAAGGGTGGCTCACGCCCCCTGAGTGGGATCCTGGGGCTCTGGATTGAGCAGGGTCAGTCCTTGCCCTGTGGCCGCCCCCTGGGGGAGGTCAGGAACTGGCGGGAAGGTTTGCGAAGACAGAGGCAGTGAGAGTAGAATCTTGGCTTCTTCCCCTTCTGATTTGGGGCTGCGAGCTCACAAGTGGAATGTTCTCAGCCGAGTGGGTCTGTGCTGCTTTGCTGTCACCTGACCTCACTGACTTTACCCTCAGCTGGTGATTGCACAGCGCTGCAGACTGCAGACTGTGTGCGTGTCTCTGCCTCTGGGCACTCAGAGGATGGGCTGAGTTGATATCCTCTTGCCCGAGCTGGGGAGCTCTCGGGGTGTTCTCTCATTCATGGCCTTGGGGATGGTGAGTGGGCCTGCAGGACTGTAGGGGAGCTGAGTTGTGTGAAAACTCTGGGGGGGCTGACAAGAGGATGTAGATCAGACAAGACAGCATTAAATTTGGGGGAAAGGAACCTTCAGACATGGGAGAGATTCGTTGTCAGAAGCAATGCTGTTCCCATTCTAGAGAAGTTAGACCTGTGAGCTGGAAGGTAAATCCCAGAGCCCAGGGAATGGCTGAATTTGGCACCTCCCTGGTCATGTTCTGCAGTGATTGGAGGACTTGCAGTGATCATCTGGGTGACCCACACTTGGAATTCACTCTCCCTTATTTGCTAACCTGACTTTACACTTCTAGCTGTCATAGGAAAGAAAGGGATTTGGTAGAACTTGGGACAGGTCCAAGCGCTTTAATCTGGGGCTGGTGTCATGTGTTTGATTGGCTCTAGCCCCAGACTTCCCAGATACCCCTGACAACTGTAACAGATGGACACAGATAAAACATTCTAATCCCATGCTCTGTGTATGTTTTTCTTAAGAGCTCCAAAGATACCTGTTTGTTTCGCCTTAAAAAATAATCCAGCCATGGTCACCCAGGACAAGGTCGCTGCGGCCATCACTGCTGGGCCTTGTCCCAATCTCCAATGCTGTGATGAATGTAGTATGTATGCTGGCTTTGATCGCCTGCCACCGTGCTTCTGTGATGTAAACGAGGGACTTTGACTTGAGTGGGCACAAATACCTTCATGAGCAATATTTCTTTCATAGTAGAATGTTTTATTATTCAAGTCAAGTTTTATACTGTTTACATTATATCATGTACCATATAACATATTTATGTACTTTTGAATAAATGCGATATTGAAAATAATCCTTTATGCCTCCAGTATTGTTGTTGTTAGGTATAAAAGTACTTAAAGATGTGTACTGCTCACTTTGGGACTTGGGGCAACCAGCCTGTACTATTACACGGCAGTAGAGAGGTAGAGTCAGAAATACATCCAGTTCTCCAACCCCAGGAAAAAAAAAAGGATTTATCTTAGAGTGTTTCCAGTTTCAGATCCTGCTCAACTTCCGGAGCAGGTTGGCCCTTCTCCTTCTAAGGGCTTCATTCACCCTCATCCAGCTACTCTGCTGTGGAACAATTGTTACATTGTCTTGGAGGGAAACTCCAGTCAACCCAGAGGGAGAACGGCCAGGTCGGGTATCTCTGGGTTTGGGTTGCCTGATCTGTGTAATGATGGGTTTGAGCTCCGCGATCTCTAAGGGACATTTGAAAACCCTGAGATTCCTCCTCTGGTTCTCATTAGAGATTTGCTAAAAGCCATTTTGGAAGCTGTTAGCCTCCCACTTCCTCGGCATGATTCGGATGGGTAGTTAATGGGCAGATGAACTTCTGAAAGTAGAAACTAGCTGCTCATAGTAATTTGGAAAATTTTTTTTTCTTCATTTGAAGCACTTGTAAGAAACGGATGACAGATGCTAAAATCACTGTTTCATGTGACTATGGATGAAGCTACTCATGACAGATAGCTTACACTTGATATAAAGATGCCATCTTCATGAAATTGACCAGTAATTACATTTCATCAACTTCTACTACATACACACAGGGAACTTTTACCAAGACCGCTGTTGGTGAAGGGCATGCTTGTAATGAAACTGACATGTCTCCCTTTAGAGACAGTGTCCCTTCTCAGGTCACCTGTCGGATTTTCAGCTCTCAGCACTCTGGGGTTCGCTCCCAGGCCCCACCAAACCCTGCCCTCCTCCCTGGGGAAACTGACAATACTGTAGTCTTACCTCATACATGCTATTTATCGACAAACATGGGAACAGTTTCCTGGATTGAGGGTTCGTATTTTAAATACTGCTACTGTATATTTCTTGAAAAACAAACCAAAAATTCTGGCGATGTCCAAGTCTGTTTCTTTAAAGACAACTTTGAGGGTACTGAGCCTAGCAAAGGCCTCTTCCTGTAAGATACAGAGATGAGATAAAGTGGGTGCTGCCCTTCTTTTCTGGGAGGATATGGAAATATGCTAGTCTTTCTTTATGTGCTTTTCAGGCTTTCTGTAATGCTTTGAGGGCCCGAGAAACAGACTAAGCACATGGTAGCTCACAGGGCAGTCTGAGCGGTTCTTGTGATTGTGATTCAGACTCTCATTTGCAAGTTTAACCCCAAATCACCAGGGCCACAGCCCAATTTGTTCCCTTTGAAACAGGAAAATCAAGCTTGTTTTAGTAAAAGACAATGAGTAAATGACATGTTTGATTCAACTGACCAATTATTAGAGTTTAAAAAAAAAAGAGCAGCGACTCTCTGAAAGACACTAGTTTATTCTTCGTAAGACCCTTGGCAAGATCTGAAAATAAATTCTCACATCACCAAAAGGACAGAATCAAAAAGATTCACTGACTAGCATCTGAACATTAAGGAGATTAGAAAAATCTTCAGGTTGGCAATGTGGTACCAAGAGAGAACTGTCTTAACATTTTTGTACAGTTTAAGACAATGATCAAGTCCTTTACAGTGAAGAATTAGAAAACACAACACTTTTAGCTGCAAAGAGAGTGACATCCTTAGAAGTTTAGAAATCAGAGACGATTTATTTAGCAACAAACCTCAGAGAGAAACTTTTTAGTTAATTTTTTTACCTGTCTCTACCTGGACAGACTCAAATTTGTCAAACTTACTACTCTGCTGAAGAGAAAAAGACTTTGCTTCTAATTCCTAACAGATTCATGTGAAACTTGGCGAAATCACACAAGGGTCCTTCTCTGATCAGTTCCTTTGTGGATTTCCAGTGGCCCCACTGTTTGGAAATGCTCAGTCTGCTCTTCTGTGGCCTCCAGGGGGCCTGTGCCCCTCTTACTCCGCTCTGCACAGCCCTGGGAGCAGTGGGAGGAGCGGTCCCCCACTTTGCACACAGCGACCTTACACTGCAGATAGATCACATCGTAGCTGGTGAGAAAGCTGAACACGTTGAACTTGAACTGGGCTACGTTCTTCTGGTGGGAATGGAGGTTGACATAAGTATTGTCTTTGATGCACCTGATGGGAACAAAAACCCCAGGCCAAGAGGATTAACTTAAAGCATAGTGTGAATGAATTCTGGCTCAAATAATCAGGCTTGCACCCAGACCTCTGAATTCCAAATGGAGTTCTTCCCACTACCTACTTTTTTAAAAAAATAGTTCTATGTCATTTTGTCGCCTTTATTTTTAATTTTTGTTTTTTAATTCAAGTACTGGAGATTGAACCCAGCAGCTGCCTCTTGCCCCTCCCCCAGCTTTTGGAAATCGGCACCATGACGCTTCTCATGGGCTTCAGGCTGCTGTGGCTCCCACTGCTCTGAAGCTGCCTTCAGTAAGTGATAAGTTTTTGTTGTCTTCACACTGGTTGCCAATTACCCATCCATAGCATTTAGCCCCTGTCAGGAGACAAAGGAACGATAAAGGCAGAGTTCTAACTTGACAAATCCTTTGTTCAACCAAAGGAGCTGGAATAAATAAAGGAGCTTAGCCCAGGATAACCCACAAGCCCCTCCACATAGGCCAGATGCCCTGTGGAATGGGGAATGCAATACAGTCATAAAACTTAAGAGAAGGTAAGGGAGGCACAGGTATGAGAGTGAGATGGGACAGCAGAGTCCGAGACAGCAAGGGCTCTGCCCAGGACCCCTTCCTTCTTCAAGGAAAGTTGTCCAGACTTCCTGTAACTATTTGTCCCCACCTGGGATCAAAGGGTTGGTGAGGGCCCAGGCTTTATCTCTGGGGCATGATGAGGACTCTTTGCACAGCGTTATGATTTAGCACGACACTTGTGAAGACACAGGTCCCCCAAAGAAATGCGACATAAATAGAATGGTCAGAGAGGGTCTTCCACTTTCCTTACCCTTGCCGGATCAAATCATATTTGACAGTTGTAAAATCACCAGGGTCTGGAGAAGCCACACAGGTATCCACAAAGAGCCGCAGGCTGGGATTGGCACTGTGGAGTGTGGCCTGGAGGAAGACCTCTTTCTTCTGGCTGGTGTAGTAGGGCCCCCTGCTCCCAGTATGCTGGGACATGGGCAACTCGTGGAATGATATGGACACATCATAGCTGGCACTCTCCCTTGGGATGTCAGCCCCAGGGATGATTTCAACTGCTGACTGGCCGTCCACCCTGCAGGTGAACTTGAGCTGAGGCACCTTGTGCCGCACAATGACTCGGCCAGGATGGCCCCGTGTCCGGCCTCTGACGGAGTTGGAGTAGCTGAGGGAGCCGAGGCTTTCCTGGGAGAAGAGAAGAGAGTTGGTGGCCAGTGCCCCTGGCTTCCTACCTAACACTTCTTTCAGGAGCAGAGATCTCCCCTTCATGCCCCCTGCTAGATGACAGCTTGCTGACAAGCTAGAGGGCAGGAGGCCTCGGGCCTGACCTCTCTGGTACCTAAGGCCATGATGGGGTGACCCAATGTCCTTGCTTCTTGGAGCTTGGGGTACATGCAGAGATCCCCCAGTGTGTGAGCCTGGGCTCCCTCCTTCCCTCCTGTGAGGGCCAAGCTGTGGGATATGAGGTGGGGTGGGAGGTCCGCGCTGGCTGCCCCATCCCTTCACACATTCCACTCCTCTGCCCCTGGTGTTCTCAGGCCACCACCGACCATCCCCCGATCCAAGCTCTTATCCTCTCTTCCGGCTCCTCCTTGCTCTTGACCCAGACTAGTGCTGTGAGCTGTGGCTTCGCTCTGCTGACCTTCACCCTCAGCCTTGCTCCTTCAAACCCAATGTGACTTAAAGGAGCCAAGGGGGCACTGAAGGCTGACGAGCAGGGGGCCACTGCCCCGGGAACCTCATCCCACAGCCCAGTGTGTCACCAGAGACTCATCCTTCCCAGGGACGTTTGTTCAAGGAAGCCTCGGTCTGTGTGTCTCAGATCTGGTGACACTCTGCCTTGAAACCCACCAAGGTCTGCCCTGTCAGCTTAGAGCAGTGTTTCTCCCTGGTCTGCCTTTTCTTTTGTTTTTCCCACAAGAACCAGTATCTCTTCTCTCCCTTGAGGGTGGTGTCACCTCATGGAGAAGGCACAACTTAGAAGGAAAGCTAAACTCCAGACCACGTGGCCCCGTCCCCTTCTAATCAGGACTTCGGGCTTCCCACTGTTCCCCGGCCTGAGTCTCTCCTGCAGGCCCTCCAAGCGGGCTGCTGCCTCGGGGCCTCTGCACTGGCTGACGCCCTGCATTGAGCCCTCCTCCTGCTCCTCTGCACCTGCTCCATCTCCTTATTCAGGCTTCAGCTCCTTGGCCACCCTATTCAAAGTGGCTTCCTTCCACCTCAAAGCAATTTCTATTCCCTTCCTTGTTTGATTGCCTTCTTAGCCCTTTTCACTATAAAGGACTCATTTGTGTGTTTGTTCGGGGCCCGTTTCCCCTTTCTTGAATGTAAGAGCCATGGAGCTGGGGCCCTGTCAGTCTTGTTGGCTGCTGTGTCCTCAGCACCTAGAAGGTTGCTCATTTATGGAGTCTGAAATCAGACACAGGACATTTTGGTGGCAGTGTTTCCCCTGTGGGTGGCCTGGGGCTGCAGGTGGTTCCTGACTTGCTATGTCCTCTGGCCCCAGCACTGTGGTCAGCACATGACGTTTGCTGGGGGAGCTGGCCAGCCAGGGACAGAGAGGACAATGCAGGGTCCTCCCTGATGGCCCAGAAGCATCTGGGGGCTACTCTTCTCCCAGACACAGGAGGACTTCCAGCGTGGCTCCTGGGGCAGAAATCTCTGAGGTAAAAGGTAGAATTTTTAGAGCAAAGAGAATAAGAATGACCATGGTCTGCACAACCAAACAAAGTGTGAAGTATGGAGCTGAATTGGTTATTTGCCATC